CACGGTCTGCGTTTCTTCTCACTCCGAAGGAGACTGATGTCAGAAAATTTTGACGCGATATTCCCTCACTTTTCACACTGACGTGCCGTGAAGTATAGAACAGAAAATGATCTGGAAAAACTCCAAAACATTTATTGCGGACTCATCCGCAAACCTTTTTCTTCTGTCGGAACGGGCTGGATCGGCGACGTCATTCCGGACCCGCCAAGCAGTGTCTTGGCTAGGCACGTGAGGCCGTGCCGTGTGGTCGACGCGAACGGTACCTTTCCGTTACCCCCTCCACGTCACGGGAGCGCATCGCGGCCGCCCGTTCCAGATCGCACGGGCCGCGGCGCCATCCAAACCCGCGCGGCCCCACCTTCAGCAAGAGGCTCGCGCCGTGTCCCCGTCCCCAGCTCCGCCTCCCTTAAAACCCCACCGCAGTTCCCGTCCTCATCTCTCTCTCTCTCCTCTCATCTCCTCCTCTCCTCCGCCTAGGCGTTCACGCCGTCGCTAGCGCCTGCCGCGGCGAAGCTTCTGCCCTCCCCGGCGTCGGGCTCTGGTCGTCGTCGGCCAGGTAAATCTGCCCGCTCCTTCTCCTTACCCCTCCTCACGGTGTGGATCTGGGCTCTCGACGGGTTTCAGATTCAGAGGGTGTGTAAGTAAGATTGCTGAGATCCGTGGCGGTTTCTGATGGGTACGAGGATGGGCGGATGGCTTCGATGTTTAGGGGCTTGGATTCGTGCTTTATTTTTAGGGATGGTTGGTTTCGCCCGTGGGATCGAGCAAAACCGATGCAACAGAGGTGACGGTCGTTTTGTCATGCTAAGATAAGAATCAGCTAAATTGTTTGGATCCGAGCTAATTGGATCTGAGCTAATTGGTTAGTAATGATCGCGTATTTGCCACGGCATGTTCATCCATTCGTGCAGTTTGTTGGGTAGGCACGGAAATTATATTATTATAGAGTAGATATTTGCAGATGGTCTGCATCCTTTTCTAAGCTTGTGTGGCTTGGGTTTACCCAGCACTTTACGCTGTCAGACAAAACTTGATGCACAGGACAAATATTGTTTTGCTTTCTGAGCATTCTGTTCTACTACAAACTGAACACATGTCCTATCTGTGCCTTCTCGAGTAGATTGGATAGGTTCATTTATATTACGGTAAAACTGGTTCATCTTAGTAAACTTGTTACCCATAATAGACTGTATGGTCATATTAATCATTGTAGCATGAAAACTTGGTCATTGTACTATGCAAAACGTTTACCAACTTCTCTTTTCCTGATTACAGGAAGATGGCTGGCGGCTTCAGGGTACTGCATCTGGTCAGGCCCTTTCTGGCTTTCTTGCCAGAGGTGCAGAGCGCTGATAGGAAGATACCATTCAGAGAAAAAGTTATCTACACCGTCATTTCTCTCTTCATTTTCCTGGTGTGCAGCCAGCTCCCACTCTATGGCATTCATTCGACTACTGGAGCTGATCCTTTCTACTGGATGCGTGTTATCCTCGCATCAAACCGTGGGACTGTGATGGAGTTGGGTATTACTCCAATTGTGACCTCTGGGATGGTAATGCAACTTCTTGTTGGATCGAAGATCATTGAAGTTGATAACAGTGTGAGAGAGGATCGTGCTCTGCTGTAAGTGTCGTCTTACTAAAAATGATGTAACCTTCAATTTCTCACATTTGAAGGGCGGGCCTGGTGCAAGCGGTAGAGTCTTTCCGCATGTGACTGGAAGGTCCCGGGTTCGAGTCGTGGTCTCCTCGCATTGCACAGGCGAGGGTAAGGCTTGCCACTGACACCCTTCCCCAGACCCCGCACAGAGCGGGAGCTCTCTGCACTGGTTACGCCCTTCAATTTCTCACATTTATCACAATTCTAATTGTTGGTGGTTATTTCGTCCGTAGTCTTTCTGTAGCATTTCTCTATCATAGTCTGCCAAAGTAGATTGTAAACCTTCTAATTTGTATTTGTTATATATATTTCTTTATTAACTCAGGAATGGTGCACAAAAGTTACTTGGTATCCTGATCACTATTGGGGAAGCAGTGGCATATGTCCTGTCTGGAATGTATGGCAGTGTAAGCCAACTTGGAACAGGGAATGCTATTCTCATTATACTTCAGCTTTTCTTTGCTGGCATCATTGTCATCTGTCTGGATGAACTTCTCCAGAAAGGTTATGGTTTGGGATCTGGCATTTCTCTGTTCATTGCTACCAATATCTGGTAAGCACATTGGACTTGATCCTTTTATTGATGTGCTGTTCTGTTGCACTTAAGCTTATAATATGACTGCTTTCATGTAGCGAGAATATCATCTGGAAGGCATTTAGCCCCACAACCATCAACAGTGGCCGTGGTGCTGAATTTGAAGGGGCTGTCATTGCACTGTTCCATCTGTTGATTACGAGAACTGATAAAGTCCGTGCTCTTCGCGAGGCTTTCTACCGCCAGAACCTTCCAAATGTGACCAATTTGCTTGCCACTGTCTTGGTCTTCCTCATAGTCATCTATTTCCAAGGCTTCCGTGTCGTGCTTCCAGTGAGATCAAAGAATGCTCGTGGGCAGCAAGGATCATATCCAATTAAGCTGTTCTACACTTCAAACATGCCCATCATTCTGCACTCTGCACTGATTACCAACCTCTATTTCATATCCCAGGTACACACCTCATTTCCAATGCTGTAGTAAGTTATATCTTTTGTATGTGTAAGTGCTAATGTATTTTATTTCTATCACAGCTTCTCTACAGGAAGTACAGTGGAAATTTCCTTGTTAACCTTCTTGGGAAGTGGAAGGAGTCTGAGTACTCTGGCCATTCTGTTCCTGTTGGTGGTCTTGCTTACTATGTAACTGCCCCATCAAGGTGAAAATCAGTTCCTTCAATGGGGAGGCCTTTTTTGTCATGATGATCGTTTTTGTTATTCCAGAAATAATTGATCGTTCTTTTCACATTGGAAACAATGCAGTTTGGCTGATGTCCTTGCAAATCCATTCCATGCACTGTTTTATGTGGTCTTCATGCTGTCAGCTTGCGCTCTGTTCTCAAAGACGTGGATTGAAGTTTCTGGTTCATCAGCAAAGGATGTTGCTAAGCAGCTCAAGGTACAAACAATTATACGCATCTTTTTATGTAAAATTTCATCTGCCAGGCTGAGGTAGTTTTATCATAATTTGTTGTCTATATTCAAAACATTATTATGATTGATAAATTTAGATGCCAGTATGAATACACTAATAGCATCACTACGAACAACACATTAACATTTGATGTTTCAGTGTCAGATCTTTGCGTGTTTTGTATATGATACTGTACTACATTTTCTGGTTCTTGAATCAGTGTACTATTATGAAACCTGAGATGGAAGAACATGTTCTTGGTTGGGAGGAACACACATAATCTTTCTAATGGGATATGGTATATCTTAATGAATTTCCACATGCCTATCAGTTGAAGATTTGGTGTGGAGCAGTTTGCTTAATGTGTTGAGCTACTGTTTATATTTGCCTCTCTTATATGCAAACTCACTACTACAACAATTACCTGTGATCTTCTGACACTGGATATTCTACAGGAACAACAAATGGTGATGCCAGGCCATCGTGAGTCAAACTTGCAGAAGGAACTGAACCGTTACATCCCCACTGCTGCTGCATTTGGTGGCGTATGCATCGGTGCATTGACTGTCCTGGCTGATTTCATGGGTGCGATTGGTTCAGGAACTGGTATTCTGCTCGCTGTGACAATCATATACCAATACTTCGAAACCTTCGAGAAGGAAAGGGCGACGGAGCTTGGTTTCTTTGGTTTTTGATTAGTAGCTGTGGAACCTTGACTTGGCTATAGCAGAATTTTCTTGTAAGTCGCTGTAGTGCTTAGCCAGTTGTAACTTAAAGAGTTCTGTTTAGGTTGCCTTCTTGCGGCCACAATCATGTAGCAGAATCTGCGTGTGTTTCAGGTTAGTGTGGGGGTATGTGCATCTGTCCAAAGAAGCGTGCTCAACCATCCACAATCAGTCATCTGCAGTCTACAGTTTGCTCATAGGTTACCCTGGCAACTGGATGTTTTGTGATCAATTTCAGTTACTTTTGAACTGAGCATGTTCTTATTTTCACTTTCTGTTTTGGTCTGTTATTACTAATTTCTCAGAACTATAGATGCTCACAGGTGCTTTATTTCAATGTCTCTATTTTATGATGAGACATGATTATCTCTTATTGCTTGTTTGGTAATCCTGTTGCTGAAACAATGGGCGAAGAAGGGTATTTTTTGATACATTGCGTGTGGCAAGTATATATATTTTTCTAGAGTTCCAGGGGTCAGCCTTCGGTCATATCGTATCTCGGCGCCTCCCTTGACATGGTATAATGTATCTAAACAATTTAAAGATTAGTAGTGTCCCAAACCCTGGTCCACCTGAATTCCATTGTGATCAGGATGTGCAAGCCAGAACGTTGTTGAAGCAAACATATAGGTAGTGGTAGCTTAATCACTAAATCAAAGAAGCCAAAGGTTTCGAGAATAACTCTGTTGTTAATTTGGCCACCATCTACGTTATGCTTTTCCTTTTATCAACGCTAGCTACTTTTCTTTGGCTCTGGCCTCTGGGGCAACGTTTGTTTCAGCAGCACGTCTTTTCTCACTCCTTCCACCTGCATTGAGACCTGTGCTATAATTGTAACAGTAAAAAGGAGACGTGGTAAATGCACTTGTTCCAAAAATTGGGTTAACATACAGGGCTCCTCCATACGACCGCGGCGTCCCTCCCCTCCCTACACACCAGTCAGTCAATACCCCTCACAGCCTCACTGACGGACAAACTTGCCCGAGAGCAATGCGGCCCGGCGACGTGCCTACAGGCGGCTACTATGGCGGGGGAGTAGCAACAGTGTACTGTGTCCCGTAGGTTTCTAGCGGCGGAGGCGAGGAGACAAGCCCTGCGCCGTCGGTCGCCGTCGCGGCATCCTCCTCCCGTCCTCCGCCTTCTCAACAGGCCGAGGTAAAGCTTCCAGAATGGCGGTAAGCTTCCTGCCTTTCTCTATGTATTTAAAATATAGGTCTGTTTTCTCTTTCCTTCGAGAATGGCGTAGCAAGATTGTATCTTTTGTCTTCAATGGGGCTTCAGATTTGTACTTATGATTTTGCAAGGTTGTCGCTGCGTGGCTCTTGTTCTTGTTCTCTCCATTTGCGTTTTGTTTCTTGGCACTAAAAACTTTAGATCCGTGTGCCGGATCAGAGTTACATATGGTTTTAGCTTTCGGATGGGGTACTCACATTGCTATTGGTTTTGGTCCAATTGTTACTTGAGGTATACCTGAAGCGTGATGAACTCTTGTCTCACAGGACGGGGTCGGTGGCAGCGACGACGGAGACAAGTCCGTGTGGGACAGTGAAGGCGAGGTGGCGAGGAGCCTCGACGGCGCTGTCTCGCCAATTGCGACCTCGAGGAACAAGCTAAAAGGTGCTCCTGGCCCGTCCATGCTGGTAAGGCAGCTAAGTGATAGGTACCCACGCGAACGCGTAGCTAACTCGAGGAACATTGATTATTCGTTGTTGTTCGTCTCATGTTAGTATTTACCTTATTGTGCTTATGACCCTAATGTGATGTCTGCTTGTGGAATTGTGTGGAAGCATGGTGATGGAAAGGTCAATGGAGCAGGGCCATCTGCCTCTTTGGTGGAGGACTTCGTAGGGATGGGTCTCATTAAGGAGAATGGTATGTAGTAACCGATTTCCCCTCCTGTTTCTTTAGGCTGTGACTGTTTTTTAATTATTCATACTTATTTTGACGACTGATTTTGTTTTCAGGAGATGGTGGTGCAGAGTCATTACTCGAGCTTCTTCTGGCCTACAAGGTACTCTCGCCAGTTTGCCTCTGATGGATAAGTCATGTGTGGCTGGTCTTTGTGGGGCTGTTGTTGCTCACATGGTCCTTGTGGCTGTTTTTCTGTTTTTAGGACAGCATCTTAGACTAGAGGACAGCATCTTAGAGGACAGCATCTTAGACTAGAGGACATCATCTTAGCTAGGACAGCATATTAGCATCTTAGACTAGCATCTTAGACTAGCATCTTGGCATATGCTTGGCTGGCTAGCAGCCTATAAATATGTAACCCCAACCCCTCAGGTTGGTATGACATTTGTGTGAGCTTGTGTGAGAAATAGACAAGAAAATTGCCCCAACTCCTAGTGTCATCCTCTCTCGATGAGAGTAAGAATTCTCCTATTACCAAGAGTGAGAATTCAGCGACTAACAACCTCCTTTTATTGATCATTCGTTTTTATCCTCTTATTGGATGGTGGGAAAGATATATTCTATTTCGCAAAAGTGATATTGTGAAATGCAGGCGATAGGCAATGACCCTTCATTGGATAACTCCTCTGCTTCTGTTTGTGGCCCCCGGACCATTGGTGATGACAAAGACATTCTTGCGAATTGGGATGCACATGATGCTAGTACGAGCAGCGACAGGGATCATATATCTGATGATTCTAGTGATGAGGTACTTTCAAGCTCAACAGCCCTCCTCCCTGTGACTACAGAAACTTTCACTGTACTTGAGGATTCATGGTAACCATGCCCTAATTTTGTACTTGTTTCATGTTAACCATGCCCTGCATTTTCGGTACTGCACAAATCGATTACTTGGCCCAAATTGTAGGGTCATGTATCGCTGCCATTCCCCTTTTTTTTTTTTTCAAAGAAACAGGTATTGCCTACATGGATATATAGCTGTAACAGAAATTGGATGTGCTTTATTTCCGTTTTTTCTTTTTCTTTTTTATTTTGAGGGTCTGTTGTTTTAGGCAAACTTTCATATTTCCATATGATTATTAAGCTTGCTAATCCAGATATTGATTCCATGCCTCTTTCATCTTGACCTTTAGTTTTTACCTACGATAATTGTCTGGTGCAACCTGCAACGGCATTCATAGTTCTATCTACCAACGAATTTGTCTTGTATTATCCAATGTTTTACTTTGCTATTTTTTCTATTGAATATATGTACAAGCAGGTTACAACTAGGTTGGAGTTGTAATTGATGGTTAGGGATAGAGTTTGGGTTGTGCTATAAATATAAGGGCATCACTATTGTGATATGGATAGAGTTTGGTGGCTGGTGTGGGCGGCAGTGGCGGTGGCAGTTTTACTGCCTTCATGCAGTCTGCTGCGAGTGGCTGTGGTGGGATGAGCATCCGTAGTCATCACCCTAGTGATGTAGGCCACTTTGGCTGAACATAGTCAACAAATATTGCGCCTTGACATCATTCTCTTATGTGGTTCTTGAGATAAGAGCATGGTGTTTGTACTTTGTGTGCTTCCGTGCTCATCAATTTGAGGCTGTTGACGTGTTGATATTATTGATTGTTTTTTTACAGACTTGTGTATCTAGAGTTGCATGCAGCTAACCGGTTGAATTAAACAAATTGATACCTAGGTACTAAAATTTTGTATTTCCTAGTTATAGTAGCCCTCGGTACCTTCCAAGGACTGTTAAAATGTTGTTCCATAGAAGTCCTGGTTCCATCTATTTGTATAATCTCAGTGCTTTCTAATATGGTTTCCTGTGCTTTTATGCAGGATTTCCTACAAGGCTTGTCACAGAAGGACGAAAAAATTGAGTCCTTAGTGAGAATGGGCTTTCCTAAAGATGAAGCAGAAATGGCTATTGTCAGATGTGGTATGCTCTCTATTGAAGTTTCTACAAATGTCTTTTTGGTCATGAGTAGCTATTAGCTCCTTTCTGTTGTTTATACAGGCAATGGTATGGTATTTTACATTTTAATCACCTTATTTCACCCACCTCGTTATGCATCTTTGCTTACAGTTACAGTACCCAGTTATATATACTCCTCAGCAAAATAAGTTAGTTTTGTAGCGAGAGCACTAAGGGTATCAGTCACTCGCTATCAAATAAAAATATTTTTTGTTTCCTGTAAGCAGACATATATCTTGCAGACTCATACTGTCTTATTTCTGAGTTACATCTACCTTCAGAAATTGTTCCATAACTTTCTAGTTAGACACACTCCACATGCCTTAATTCACTGATTCTTTCTACTTTGGTTTAAAACTACAAGGTCAGGATGCACCTATGTCTGTTTTGGTTGATTTAATCTATAGTTCAGAAGCTTCAGAAGATGGTTACTATGGCAATTTCTCTGACCATGAGGTAAGTGTTAGTATATATGTCTATTTCGTTTACCAAAAAAAAAATGTTTGGTTCCTTAAATTGGATGGACTGAAACTAGAACTGTGTTTTGTAATTCTACAGGATGATTATTTTGGAGGAAGAAAGGAAAAGAGAAAGAGATCTGAAGATGCAGAACAAGGTAGTAGAGGACCCTTAGATGGTAGCCATGATGAGCCGATGCCTCTCCCAAACCCAATGGTTGGGTTTAACCTGCCAAATGTGAGCTTAAGATCAGTGGACAGATCTCTACCCTCAAAGGCTATTGTGCCACCTTTCTTCTACTATGAGAATGTAGCCATTGCTCCAAAGGGTGTCTGGATGACGATATCATGGTTCTTATATGACATCCAGCCTGAGTTTGTGGATTCAAGGTTCTTATGTGCTGCTGCCAGGAAAAGAGGTTACATACATAACTTGCCAATTAAGAACAGGTCACCTCTCCTTCCCTTACCCCCAAAGACAATATTTGAGGCCTTCCCCCATACTAAAAAGTGGTGGCCCTCATGGGACCCTAGAAAACAGTTCAACTGCCTCCTGACCAATATGGCTAAACCTAAGTTGACGGAACAGATTCACCATGCTCTTGCAAAATGTAAAGATCCACCACCTCGACTTGTTCAGAAGTATGTCTTGGAAACCTGCAGGACGGCGAACTTGGTATGGGTTGGTCTGAACAAGGTTGCTCATCTAGAGCCTGATGAGATGGAATTCCTGCTTGGTTTCCCCAAAGACCACACCAGGGGAATCGGCAGGACTGAGAGGTTCAAGTCTTTGGGCAATTCATTCCATGTCGACACCTTCGCATACCATCTCTCAGCACTTCGGGACATGTTTCCACATGGCATGAATGTCCTTTCCTTGTTCTCTGGCATTGGAGGAGCAGAGGTAGCTCTCCACAGGCTCGGCATACACATGAAGACGGTCATTTCGGTGGAGATATCTGAGGTGAACAGGTTCATCTTGAGGACTTGGTGGAATCAGACCCAAACAGGCACTTTGATAGAGATCGCCGATGTTCAGAGCCTGACTACCGAGAGGCTCGAGTCATGCATCAGGAGGATTGGTGGTTTTGACCTGGTGATTGGGGGCAGCCCCTGCAACAATCTTGCTGGGCGCAATCAATTCCACCGTGATGGCTTGGAGGGCGAGCAGTCGTCCCTCTTCTACCACTATTACAGGATCTTGGACACGGTGAAGTCCATCATGGGCAGAATGTAGAAGATTATTGCAGCCTACCATGGAACTGAACTGATTTTTTTTTCTCAAACACCATGGAACTGAACTGATATGTCACTGCTGCTGAATTTTGTGGGGGTATGCGTTGGGGCAATGACTGCCCAGTTCCCGATTTCATGGGAGCGCCTGGTTTGGCGACCATTACCATCAGTAGCGGCAGAAGAGTGCCTTGGCTGTGGCTGAATCTTCTGCCAGTCACAATACTTTATTTCGTTTGATTATATCCATGCTCTGTGACGGGCGGTGCTTGACCTGATTTGTGATAATCTGTCCAGTAAGTTCTGATTGGGTTGTCGATTGAGATACCTTTAAGCTTCTTTACACCAAAATTTGAAAGAAGGATTGCAGGAACTCGAAAGCTCCCAAAATCATGTCATCAAGGAATCGGTTGCATAAAGGTCGGTATCAGCTGATTCGAATGTAGCACTGGAATCGGCTCTCTTATGATAGCGCCAGCAGATAACTATAATAGCTGCAATCGGTGCGAGGAAAAACATGTTGGACTCTAAAAACGGGAAAAAATTATGGTCCAAGTTATTTTAAATTAGGAATGTTTTCTCTTGGACCAAAAATTATAATGAGTCGTGCTTAAGTAGGATTCATACGTAGGTTCTGGGTATAAATATTGGACCCCGGCTATTGTAAATGACACACAATCAATCAAATACAAGTTACTTACTTTTTCGGCTCCGGCCACCCCTTAGGAGTAGGAGTAGAGTACATCTCGGCGAGTTCTTCAGCGAGCAGGGCTGCATTGGTCCGGCTGACCTCCGGCTTGTCTGTAAGTACTGTCATGGCTTATACTTTCGTTCGTACGGCTGCATCGATCCGGTTGACCTCCACTGCGACTCGGTATAAGTTAGTTATCGACTCTTGTCTAGTTCAAATACGGCTGTATCGATCCGGTCGACCTCCACTGCTCGAACTAGATTAAGGTCAAGTTATCGGCTCTATCTAAGGGCGGCGTCCTTCGGATAGATTCATTAAGTTACCGATATTGCTTATTGCTTCTATTATTTATTTAAGGGGCTATTGCGTTCTTGCCCCTACTTTGACGTCCAGTTGTGATTTTACCCCTGCTTTTGTCATCATTGTGATTTTACCCCTGTTTTTTGAAAACGAAGCTTAAGTTTACCCATATTCCGTGAACAGCAGGTAATGGTGTCAAATGGGCTCAGTAAGGACAAGTTTGCCCATGCGAAATTGCCCCTACTTATCTGAATCCGTAGTACGCGTAGCATTTTACTGCGCCACAATGGCTGACGCGTTGGTCAGGTCTATGGGGCTTGATTGCCAGCACTGTTTCGTGAGCCGATCTCGTGGACTCCTCTCTCTGTCTCTGTATTTTAGTGGACCGTGTCCACATAGAGGAGGGGGATGGTCACTGCCATGTGGGCCCCAAGGGCGAGGTGGCGCCTCCCCGTTGGCCCAAACGACGTGGCCTAGACACGGCTTTGGATGCCGCGGCCTCTGTGTCGGTCGTCCCCGTCCTTCATCCGTGAGAAACAGAGGGAGAGCGAAAGAGAGAGGGAGGGAGAGAGAGGAGGAGGAAGGGGCAAGGCCGAGTCAGGGCAGCAGTAGAGAGAGGGAGGGGCATCCCGTCAGTGACAGCAAGGACAAGGGAGCGGCGTAGGGGAGAGGAAGAGCGCGGCGACGGCGGCGGCTTTGGGGGCGGAGAAGGAGGGGCGAAACAGGCGAGGTGGGGCGTGTGGCATCGGCGCAGCGTGCTGCGTGGTAAAGCGAGAGCGAGGCGGCGGTGGTGCGGTGGCGGCGGAGCAAGGTGAGGGCAGCGGCGGTGCTTCCTGCGGTGGCGCAGAGCAAGGCAAGGGAGGGAGAGGAAGCAGAGGAGGGAGAGCAGGGCACTACGACGGCGGCGGCCTCGACGCGATGGCGGTTTCGCGGCGCTCCGACGGCTTCGGCATCCACGGCCTCGGCTCGAGGTGCTCCTGCGAAGGTGGGGCTCGGTGCTCCTATGCTTGCCTCAGCGACGGCCACGACCGGCCTTTTATAGGCGCGCGGCCACGAGGGACCGTTGAGAGCCGGTGAAGCTGCCCCCACTGCGGCGTGGGCGTGGACGGCCAGTAGAAGAGCGCTAGGCCCTGCCCGCCCGACGAACGGGGCCTGGCCGCTCAGGGCCACGCCCGTGCCCTCATCACGCGGCGCAAGGAGCCACCCAGCCGCACCCCACGCCCACGCCTTGGCCGCCCGACGCCCGAGCGCCCGCCCGCTCGATGAACGGGGCCTGGCCGCTCAGGGCCACGCCCATGCCCTCATCGCGCAGCGTAAGGAGCCGCCCAGTTGCACCCCACGCCCATGCCGCCCAGCCGCACCCCACACCCATGCCGCTGCTAGGGTTTTAGAGGATTGACGTGAGGAGAATTAGAGATAGAGAGGATACGGTAGAGGATGGGGGATTGGGGACGGTACGAGTGGATAAGGGGTATTGTTGTCCTTTGATCTTACTGTGAAGGGTTTTGTTGTTTTTTAATTTTTTTTATTCCAGATACAACTAACATAGTTAAAAGTAAGGGTAAATTGAGCCTTAGTAGTTACAAAGCAGGGGTAAAATCACAACGATGACAAAAACGAGGGTAAAATCACAATTGGACATCAAAGTAGGGCAAGAACACAATATTCCCTTTATTTAATTACAGCAATATCACTTTGCCCGATTGGAATTGATCTAGATCGACTTTGTATCCTGTTTAACCTATCGTTTATTAATTTAAACTGATCTAATCTGCACCTTAAACGATGAGTTATGTTTTATCGGCTGTTTTATGTCAATCTTGATCGTGCATAGTGTGCGGTTAAGGCATGCCTAGTCTTGAATAGATCTATCGGCTAACGAAAACCATTCCATGGCCCGTTATCACGGCCTGTGTGATTCTGCCTCACACCCCACTGCTAGCACCGTGGAGCGGGTATCGTTATTTGGTAGATCTGTTCCTGATAGGGCATGACCTTAATTGTGCGCTATGCCTGAATCGCCTGTTGTAGCCGATATCGAGTGTTTTCACGTATACAGTTCACGCCATGAGACCGTTGAAGTAAGGGTAGGTTGAAAGATATATTAGCCTCATGATCTTATTATTGTATTACGACCTGCATGATTCTGCCTCATGCCCCATTGATATTAGTAATAAGTTAGGATCGTCGAATTTATTGTTGTTTCTACGGCCTGCATGATTCTGCCTCATGCTCCACTGGTCATAGCGATAAATGAGATCTAATATGTTCATTAGATTTATCTCTATTAAATGGTTAAATGATGATGAGCTATTTCTTTTATATAAAAATGGATTCGGTTACTTGCAGTCATTGGCTTAGCATAAACTGATTAGTGTTGACATCCTATTGCCATTGACTAATATTTGTCTAAATAACGATATTCATCCTGAATGATAACCAATTTTTCTTCTATAATGTCATGAGCTTTAACTGATTTATTCTTATGAGTACGCTGGAATCGGCTATTTAGTCGATCTTCTTCCACATCGGCTCTCAGAGCCGCATATTCGAAACTATCTGGGCACAGTTCGGCATGTTCTACCTTAAATTACTGATAAACTTTCTCTCCTTGTCAATTGCAGGGTCAAATTGACTGACATGTCTCGAGAGGAGTACGTAGGATCGATCATCCTTGCGTGGAAGCTAGGCGGATCTCCAGCTCCATCGAGCAGAACCTTCCGGTTTGCTCATGTGCCCGGCACGGGATGAATTTTCGTGCCGACACACGTTCTAGCACGCTCGGTGGGACCCCACAATCGTCACGACGGCTCACAACAACAACGACATCCTTATGGCACCTTATGAAGACCCACTTGATGGAGATAAAGATGTCATCAATAAAGTATAGAAGAATTTCAGAACAAGTGTTTGTTGTCCTACACCAAAACACGTGACAATATAATTGTTCAGAAATATCCACTACCAAAAGTTCTGCTGCATCGGCAGACTGATGCAGATGAGACTGAAGACAGGTGTTTCTTCACGGAAGCTATAAACAAATCTGTTCATGATGCCATATCGAACCATAATGAAATTTTTTTGAACGCATTCCACAACACCATGAAGGAGGTGTTTCATGGGTTTCCAGTTGATCAGGCTGGGCCGGCTTATTACAACATTCCACATCCGTTGACTTAGGGAACCAATCAAGCCGATACTAGCTATCAAGAAGCAGCACCAGCCGGTAATGATGATGTCCAGGCAGTTCAGAGTTCATCTGAGCAAGCTTAAGGTGCTACTACGAATCAGATATAGTATAATCCTGGATCGTCAGTGCAGCATGTGCAACAGCCGATGGGGTAAGATCAAAACTAGATGATTAATTTTGGCACATTAGGCCACATATCGTCATCGGCTCAAAAAATAGCACCATCAATTTAAAGGATCTATAGGGATATAGATCCTAATGTCTATAACCAGAGACTTCAAGCAGCAAACCAGCAGAGGACCTAGCAGATAGAGATTCCAGAGGGGTATCATTATGGCACAGATTATAACACCCTTCACATGATTCCGAATCCAGGGTATCAAGGCACATGGGATTTCAATCCACAGATGGGTCAGCAGGTGTAGAGAAATCCAAATTCAAATGCTGATGAGTTGTTGCTGAGAGTGACTGAGATGATGAAAAATCAGTTCGGTCTGAAGCCAAAAGGTCTGACCTTCTCATACAAACGCCAATATCTAGAATGGTACGATTTGGTCGCTCTTTCTACAAATGACAGGCTCCTAGAGTTTGCCAAGTTCACTAGCCAAGACAGCACAAGCACAATAGAACATGTCAGTCGGTATCTTACACAATTGGGTGAGGCATCCGTTGAAGAGGCTCATCGAGTTCGTTTCTTCTCCCTGTCACTGTCTGGGCCAGTCTTCACTTGGTTTTCATCACTACCAGTTAATTCCATTGCCAATTGGGCTGACCTATAGAAGAAGTTTCATACATATTTTTACACTGGGATAGGAGAAAAGAA